TCGCAAGCTACCCGAAATATGGCAAAAGGTCGTTGATGCAAACGGAGAATATTTCGCTGATTAATATTTTTTCGTTTGTTTTTGAATAAAGATTGAAAAAGCTCAGAACTTTTTTGTACACCTAATATATCTTAGAATGTATTTGTTATTTCGAGTAAACAACAGATATATTATAGGTTTTCATAGTTAATAAACTGACTACAGTTGTTTAGAGTTTATCGTTTTTCTTCTATATTGAAAGAAAAAAAAGAGACTTTGTAACCAAGTTTAATTATAAACAACAGACTTAATTCTACATATAACTAAGTATAATTTTAAATATAAAAAAATCATAAAAAATTTATATTTATGAGTTGAAAATATTTTACAACACTATACGGTTCGCTTACAACTTAATCGATCACACCATCTTTGCTCCATCTCCTTTGTAACCTCTGGTAAAGTTGATATATATACATCTTTCTGTGACTTTACATGGCACAATTCAGAAAGACGTTTTGCTTCATATTCCTTGAAAGTAGCAGATTTTAATGAACCCCATTGTTGCTCGATGTTATTGCAACTAAGATTGTATAGTTCTGACTCTTCGACTCTAAGAAAAGACTAATTTATTTAAGCAAACTTCTTTATGTGATTTTTCATAAAAATTTTACAATGAAAGTATCCAATAATATAATAACTAAATGAACAAACCAAGACAAGTACAGCATCACTGCAACAACATGTTTACATTTTTGTGATTGCTCAGCTGGACATCCACATTTCAAAGACTGTTTATTTATAACTTTTGAGCCAAAATTCTTTGCTACAGCAATCCAAAATTCAACTAAATAAGGATGTTGACTGCTCAGGCCAGAGGTTCTAAGGACAAGCGCTTACACATGCACTGTGGTATCTTTTTTATCTTTTTTGCCAACGTAAATGATTAGTCCACTATTTAAAATTTCTTCACCCTCACGCATGGGTCTCGCAAAGCCTTCTGTTAATTTTACTACATCTATTATGGATAACATTTCAAAAATAAATTTAAAAAGACATTTAACTTTATACAAGAAAATCTACGCAGCTTTAGTTTGTTTGCTTTACGCTAGTTTCACATTTCGTCACTAGGAGCGCTCGGGAAATCTTTGCGTCGCCAATAGCAATACTGCAGTAGTGCCTCAAATTACTACTGAGCGCTAGTAGTGCTCAGTAGTATTTTTCTACAAGGGCGTAGAGACCGCGCATTATAATCTATTATGAAATTGAAGAAGAGTAGATGTTTTTCTACCGTATTATTATAAAAAGCATATCATATTGTAAATAATAAGTACACTACTCAACAAAGAATAAGGAACACTTTCGACCTCGCTCAAAATTATACAATATTCAGAACACCGTAACTCGGTGACAAATTATTACTGATCAAAAATCAGAAAAGCATTTGAAATGTTGAAATCTCTATTTTTGAAATCTGTAATTGATATTCCAATCTGACTAATCCATTATGAAGCCATACGGACACAAATGGATATCCGTTAAATCTGAAAATTATGTACAAAGTTTACAAAAGTCTATGGCATGAAGTAAAAATCGCACAAAAATGTGGTTTACAGCAGTGGAAAGAGTAAATCTTTACCTTTAATTTGTTTTTTATTGCACATTTTTTTGGTCGAGTTATTAAATATTGTAGCAAAAGTAATTATTTTTGTATAATAAATCAAACTAACAAAGACTTCTTATAAATCAAAAGAACTAGGAAAGAACATGGGCAATAGGAGTCAAGCGCAGAAGACGTTGCGCAAATAATACACTCATAAAGCGTGAAACTTCTTTATTCTACCAAACGCGCTTACATGTTTAGGCTCACTTTTGAGCCTTCTTCAGAGCATTTGTGTTGCCTCTGAAGAAGGCTCAAAAGTGAGCCGAAACATGTAAGCGCGTTTGGTAGAATAAAGAAGTTTCACGCTTTATGAGTGTATTATTTGCGCAACGTCTTCTGCGCTTGACTTCTATTGCCCATGTTCTTTCCTAGTTCTTGTAATCATTTTTGCTTCAACGTTCAATAACTCGATGAAAAAAAAATTGTACAACGCTTACTAGGAAAGCAATTTGAAGGTAAAGATTCATTCTTTCGACTGCTGTAAACTGCATTTTTGTGTGATTTTTACTTCACGCCATAGACTTTTGTAAACTTTGTACAAAATTTTCAGATTTAACAGATATCCATTTGTATCCTTATGGTTCTGTAATGGATTAGTCAGATTGGAATATCAATTACAGATTTCAAAAATAGAGATTTCAACATTTCAAATGCTTTTCTGATTTTTGTTCAGTGATGATTTTTCACCGAGTTACGGTGTTAGTAGTAGTAGTTTTTATTGCCTTTCACTTCAAGTGCTTACAATGACTTCCTTTACAATTTTTACATATATACATGATACATACATCTCCCCCCTCTACCTCTTTACGCAGTCTTAAACTATTCACTCTCTCACTCACTCCCTCCCCTTCTCTCTTTCTCTCTCCTCTCTCTCTCTCGCTCTCTCTCTCTCTCTCTTCTCACTCGCTCTATCATCTCCATCCATCTGATTCCTCTCCCATCCTCATTTACCACATCTACATTTATATTTCTTTCTCCTTTCTCCCTCACATATTCACACTCATACTTTAAATGATCCACATTCTCTCTCTCCCTTGCACACAATCTACACTTCCTCTCCTCCTCACTCAACCAAAACTTATACCCCCTCTCTTCATTCCCACATCTCCACCTCGCTATTTTCACCAGTCTTTTTCCCTCATTCCTCTTACCCGTTCTTATGTACGTTGGTATCCCATACACTCTCCTATAGTTCGCGCAAGACCTAGACGCTCTCACTTTCTCTCCTCTTTCCTGCACATCAACTTCTATATCTCTTTCCTTCAGTCGCTCCCACTTATTCTCTCCACCTTCATTCATAGCTACCTCGCTCATGCCTCCTCTCCATAGATAGTTCCCTCTCTCCATACTCTCTTTTGTCCATTCACTCCTATCACTCTCTCTCTCCCTCTTTCTCTTCTCAATCATACACATCCTCCCAATATCTCCTCCCTCTCCTTTCTCTAATTTCTCTTCAAACTTTCCTGCCCTCCATCCCGTTTCTACTCTCAGTTTATTTCTTTTTAACTCTTCCCTCACTATATACCCTGGTGTTACCTTCTCTAAACCTAAGATCCACTTCAGGTATTTTTCTTGGATCGCTTCCACTTCCCTCCACTCTCTGTATCCCCATATTTCCACTCCATAAAATAAGATTCCTTTCACTATGCTGTCAAACAGATTTAGCCTCCATCTTATATCCCCCCTAAATTTTCTCTCCCCGTAACTCCATACCCATCCCATTGCCACTCTAGCTCTTCTTACCCTTTCCCTCACATGTTCTTTATCCCCACCATATCTTGTTATCACATACCCTAAATATTTATATTCTTTCACTTCCTCTATCCTTTTCTCTCCCCACCACCAGAACCTCTCTTTCTCCCTTCCTCCCTCCTTTTTGAACACCATCACCTTAGACTTCTCGACACTCAATTCTAGCTTTTTCCCTTCTAAATACCTTTTTACTCTCCTTATCATATCTCTTAATCCTTCCTCTTCTTCTGCTAGCAGCACTATGTCATCCGCATACTCTATTGACCACATCCTATCATTTCCCACCCTAATCCCTCCCTTCCCTTTCTTTAACTCCTCCTCAATATCCGCCATGTATATGTTAAACAGGGTCGGACTCATTGGGCAACCCTGCCTTACCCCCTTCCCCACCCAGAATTCCTTTGACACCTTCTCCCCTATCCTCACAACACACCTCGTCTCCTCATACACCTCCATCACTCTATCTATTAAACCTTCACTCACCCCTCTTTTTCCCATCATTTCCCACAAAACGTTTCTATCCACTCTATCAAAGGCTGCCTTTAAATCGATGAAAAATGCCCATACTTTCTTTTTCCTGTTTAACCTTCTTCCAACTACATACTTCAAAATCTTAACATTTTCCACTGTTCCTCTTCCTTTCCTAAAACCTGCCTGCGACCTACTCCACCCTTCCTTCATATCCATCTCTTTCACTATCCTTTTGTTTAAAATATTCGCATATATCTTATACCCCGTGCTCGTCATCGTTACCCCTCTATAATTTCCGGGCTCCCTTCTCTCTCCTCGCTTCCATATCGGTACCACCACTCCTACTCTCCAGCTCTCTGGGAACCCTTCCCCTTCCCATACCCCCTTTATTACCTTCTCCAAACTTTTCCCCATAATTTCCCCTCCCTCCTTCCATGCCTCATTCTTTATTCCATCCCGTCCTGCTGCTTTCCCTCTTTTTAACCTTTTTATTTCATTTTTTATCTCCTCTATCCCTATCCCCTCACCCCCCACCCTGTCCACTTCCCTTATTCTCTTTCCCTCTCCTTTTCTTTCCTCAAATCCTCCTAAGCTTTCCGTAAAGTACTTTACCCAAGCCTCCATTTCTATTTCTTTACATACTCCCTCCCTTTTCTTTCTCCCTCTGTTTATAAAATTCCAAGCCTCTGCTTCTGTCTTTATATTTTGTACCTCCTTTTCCTCCCGTCTCATTTGTTCCCTCTCTTTCTCCTCACATAGCTTTCTATACTCCTTTTTGAGTATAGTACCTTTTTGAGTACCTTCCTTCCTCCTGTTCTCTTCTATACCGTCTACGCGCTCTATTCATCTCTCTCTTTTTTTCTTTACACTCTACGTCCCACCACGGGCACCACCCTATCCCTTTTCTCTTCCCCCTTTTTTTAAACTCTACCGCCTTATTAATTTCTCTTTCCAACTCCTCCCATCTCTCTCTCACCCCTCCCCCTATCCATTCTACCTTTTCTATTGCCTTCCTGTACCTGCTTGTACCCTCCTCTGACCAGTCCTGCACTCTTAATTCTTCCCCTCTCTTCTCTTCTTCCCTTTCATAATATGTCCCTAACTCTATCACAATTGGCTGATGGTCTGACTCCCCCCTACACCCTACCTCAAATCTCCTTACTCTCTCCCAAGCTTCCCAGTTTACTATACCAAAATCAATTACTGACCTCCCTCCTCCCTTCTCATAGGTCCACTCCCCCTTCTCATCCCCTTCCTTTTCTCCGTTCAGCACCATCCAGCCTCTTTCTTCTATCACCTCCATCAAATCCCTTCCTTGCTTATTTACTACTTTATCCTTGGACTCTCTACTAGCTTCCTCCTTTGTTCCATCTCCCTCTATACTTTGTCTATTCCACCCTTCTTTTTTCCCTATTCTAGCATTAAAATCCCCTGCTATCATTAACATTCCCTCTTTCTCCTCTTTAATCACCTCCTTTAGATCAACCAGACCTTCTTTTCGTCCCTCCCTATTATACACTATTACAAATCTCCACCTCTCCCTATCTATAACCACTTCCCTTTCTTGTATACCATCCTTCTCCTCATACCCAATCTCTCTTTCCTCCAACTCCCTTCTCACTCCAGTCACAATTCCCCCTTTCGCCCTTCCCTTTTTTCCCTCTCTCCTGGCTGCTTGGCACTTCCACCGCCATCCCTCCGGCATTCTCTCTTTCATCTTTGCCCACCCGCTTTCATCTACCCACGTTTCTATCAAACCGACCACATCAAAATCGTTCAAGAATTTCCAAAAATCCTCGTCCTTCTTTTTTAGCCCTGCCACATTCCATACCACATCCTAACTCCCTTTCCTCCCCCAATACCTCTCCCCCTCCTCGCCCCTTTATAGTATTCCCCTCTTTTCTCATTCACACTGCAAGCACTCTTTGAAAATTTACTTCCCCCATACACCCTCTCTCACTCTTCCATTCATACTCTTTTCCATTTAACCATCCCCTCCCAAACCCTACCTTCACACGCCTACCCTTATCTCTCTCACTTTTTGCCCACATCCTAACCTCCCTCTGTCTATCTCTTTCACTTTTCGTCATGTCATCATCCACATACACTCTCGATCCTCTCAGTTCGCCTTTCTTCTCCATTATCCTTCGTTTATCATACATATTGTTTAATTTAACTACTATCATACTCTCTCTCTCTTTCTCTCTAATCATAAATGCGTCCTTCACATTTATTTCTCTCTCATTCACTCCTATTTTCTCAAACACGCCTCCTACCACCTCTCTAACATTCCCTCCCTTTACTTCTACCCCTTTTATAACAATATTTAATCTTCTCTCTCTTCTTTCTTGTTCGCTATTCTTCTTCTCCATCTCTTGCACTCTTTCTTTTAATTCTTTTAGCTCCTTCTCTAATTTCTCTCTTTCCTCTCTTTCTTCTGCTCTTATTTTTCCAATCTCTTCCTTCATTTCCTTTTTTAACTCTCTCCTTATTTCCTCTCCTGTTCGTTCTACTTTTTCCATAATTTCTCGTTTCGTTTCATCCAGCAATCTTCTCATGATCTCTTCCATTTTTTCCATTCTACCTTCTGTCTTTTCTCTTCTCTTTTCTTTAAACTCCACGTTCCCCTTCTCAGTCTTTATCTTCTGCTTCTTCTTTTCCTTTTCCTCCTGGTCCGAATCGGAGTCACTTCCTCTATTGCGTTTCGATAAATGTGAAACAATACTGCCGCTCGCACTGCTGTCCCTTCTCTCTCTGCCCAAGCTCTCCGCCTTAGTCGGTCTACCTCTTCTTCCTTTCCCCTCTCCACTCTTGTCTTCCTCTTTCCTTTCTCCCCTTCCCTTCACTACGCTTCCCTCTCCCCACTCGCCTCTCAGCCACTCCTGCACCTTGTCCCCACCTACCTCCGCCAGCCCGCGTGAAGTCTCGTCTTTCTCTCTCTCACTCCCCGCTCTCTCATTCATTCCTCTCCCTACCCCGCCCTCCTCCGTGCATTACGCGCGTACGTTCACTCCTCGACGCCGCTCTCCTTCCCGAGCTCGTCCCAGCGCACGCGCCGAAGTTTCTCGCTGAAGTCCCTCTTCTCCGGCCGATCCTGATGTTCTCGACCGCTGTCGAATGTTGACACTTTGGAGTTTCTAGGTTAGGATGCCCTCTTCACTTTATTACTCTCTTTGCTCGCCCTTCTATTAGAAAAACGAGCTATTTTTGCTTAGCTCAAGGGTTAACGACCCCCGTCGCCTGTAACTCAAACTCCCCGAGGGGAAGACTCTCTACAGCACCTTTAAATTCCACTTTTCTACCCTCCACCATATACTGTGTGTATCACCACTCACCTCGTAACCGGAAGTCCCGAGTTACGGTGTTCTGAATATTGTATAATTTTGAGCAGGGTCGAAAGTGTTCCTTATTCTTTGTTGAGTAATGTACTTATTATCTATAATATGCTACGCTTTTTGTAATAATACGGTAGAAAAACATCTACTCTTTTTCAATTTTATAACAGATTACGATGCGCCATCTATGGTAATTAGAGACCACAATATTATGTCAAATATCGTTGGTACGATTAACAGCGAAGAGTTTTTTTGTAATTATATGATTGTGAAATTATATCTTGCTTACCTGACGAAATATTCGCGTGGACGGATTAAAATAGCCCACCCTTATACGTATATGTCAAAAAAATAAATTTTAAATACAATAAATAAGAAAAATCTTTCTTGCTCGGTTTTCTACGTTATTTTTGTTCACTTATTCACTTTATCATTTTTTCGTAAGAATTAAACCAGTCTCTCGAAGTTTCTCACACAATATTTCACAAAATGGACAATCCCAAAAAAAATCATAAAAATGAAAAGTTCAAGGCAAGTTCAAAAAAAGATCCTCAAACATTTAAACCTTTAAAAATTTAAATGATTATCTAAAATAATATATTACCATGAAAAGTAACTAATATATTATTAATAAAAGTGCCAGTTCAAAATAAATATACATAAAGTGAATATTATCTAAATTTAATAATATATTACCATGAAAAATAATTGATATGTTGTTCAGGGTGCAAGTTCAAAATGAAAATACATACATATAGTATAAGTAAAACAGATTACAATTTGATTCTAGAAAATAAGTGCGATATGTTATTCTTAGTGCACAAAATCGTTTATTGAGATTTGATTTGAAATTTATACTAGCCCGTACAATGAAAAATAATTGCTTGTAATTCCAGAGTACCAATTTGTTAATGACTCGGAAAAAGAACATGGCCTGCTCTCAAAAAACTTTGATGAGTTTTTCGGGGTTCATTTAGAAATAATGTCGAAGCTATTACAAAGTAATTGTTACAACACTTGAAGTACAAAAAGTATTACATTAGAACCGTATTTTCAAAAATTCTATAACGAAGTGAATATATTATATAATTACGTCATATAATCAGTAAACTCTTTAACTGTATAGCTTCTTTGTACTTGACCTGAGAACTTCTTATTTATGAATTTTAGGTTTAATTAGTATTTACTCGTTTCGGGTAATAAGGCAACGTTTTTTTATCAATAAATTACTTGCTGAAAATATGGCATAACAAACTCAAAATCGGAAGTTGATATGAAAATTCGAAATTTTACTAAAGAAAGATGGGAGGCTTTTAATCTAAACAATTTCATAACTCTTTTATTTCAATTATTTATTTCCATCCCTTGAAAGTTTTTTGAGAGCAGGCCGCCATGTTCTTTTTCCAAGTCATTAACATATATTTTATGTATGTTCACTTTGAACTGGCACGTTTATTAATAATATATCAGTTACTTTTCATGGTAATATATTATTTTAGATAATCATTTGAATTTTTAAAGGTTTAAATTTTTGAGGATCTTTTTTTGAATATGGCCTGAACTTTTCATTTTTATGATTTTTTTAGGATATCACCTTCATTTTTCACGAAAACCATCACTTTTCAACCGCTCATATGTCCAGAACGGCTTGATCGATTTTAATTTTTTTAGCTCAAATTACTCGTGGCGATGCGGCCTTCCAGGATATATTATGTTCGTTTCAAAATTTTTTATATTTTAGTAGTTATACACTCCTGAAAAATGCACTTTGGTGGCTCGGGATAAGAGACTTGTAGTGTCTTTCATTTCATTTTCATTAATTGAAGTAGTTTTTTTTAACATGGTCAGGAGACACTACCGCGTCTCCTGATATACATAATAATTTCTAGTCTGAATCATGTATGCTTTAAAGAATTTAAAATTAAACGTTTAAATGGAACATTGAAACGCTCATTTAAATAGAGAGATCAATAAAGTAGGAGAAAGTAAGACGAGACAACTTACTTATTTCACGCATGCGCACTCATTTTGGCCAACATAAAACCAGGAGGGTTGCTACTGTATATATGGCAATAGTGCAGTAGTGCTTTAAAATACTATTGCGTACTAGTAATGCTCACAAGGGAACCTCTCGAGGTGTCAAATTCTGATTTTAATGAAACTTTGTGAACTTGTAGCTTATATAAAGAGATGAATTTAGAAAATATTAGTTGCGGCTAAAAAACGGTTTGAAGAGGTGAAATCACCTTACATGTACAGCGGTTTTCAGCTTTTTCCGTTATATCTCGAAAACTATTTGAGATAAAAAAATGTTGTATACAAAAGTTTTACAACAAAATTAGCTGTATTCAATCGCGTTTTTAGAATAATTATTTATCAATTTTTTAGAATAATTATTTACCAATTTTTTTTCGAAAATTTTGAAAAAAGTTGGTAAATAATTATTCTAAAAACGCGACTGAATACAACTAATTTTGTTGTAAAACTTTTGTATAAAACATTTTTTTATATCTCAAATTGTTCTCGAGATATAACGGAAAAAGCTGAAAACCGCTGTACACGTAAAGGGTGATTTCACTCCTTCAAACCGTTTTTTAGCCGCAACTGATATTTTCTAAATTTATCTCTTTATGTAAGCTACAAGTTCGCAAAGTTTCATTAAAATCAGAATTTGACACATCGAGAGGTTCCTTTGTCAGTAATATTTTTCTACAAGGGCGGTAATTAGAGACCATAATGTTATGTCAAATATCGTTGGTACGATTAACAACGAAAAGTTTTTTTTGTAATTATGTTATAATGAACTTAGAATTTCTATTACGTAATTACATTATTAATTAAGATAGATTATCCGTGATTTTTTAAGGATAGATTCCAACAAAACTCTATTGTGATAAAATTTTACGTCTTTATTGATATTTTATCATATTCTGATCATACTGTCTTAACAGGAAACGATAGAGAACGGTGGAGAATGTTATTATTTTTTTTCGCATATTCTTTTTTAAAGTTTTTTTCTTTCAATTTAGAGAAGCGATAGATTACGATAGAAATCCATTGGATTTTCCATAAAATCCATAGGTTTCGATTGCTTTCTCTCTTTCGACATTTTTATTCACAGAAGTTTATTATGGTTTGTATTTGTCCTATTTTTGCAGTGTTATTAGATATATGTATTATAATCAGTCGCATCATATTATAATCGCGAATGTGCGTAGTGGCCATCGACGCGAGTTTTTCGGCGCAGTGCGGCGAGACATGTGAGCGGCAATGGCAGGCAGAGGTGCGCTTGCTCTCTTGCCTCTCTAACTCGCTGCTAGCAAACTCGTTGCTAGCTAACAGTCAATACTTGATAAACTGAGCCAGGCTATACCTCGAGTGCAAGCGGTCGGAGCATTTCTTGCGGCGCGCTCTCATTAGTAAAATTACAAAATTTAATATCTCGATTATTATTGCGAATTTCGCTAAACAGTATGTGATCTTTGTGTTCATCTCGATCCCATCTACTTTCCTATGAATTATTGCAAAAGTCTCGCAAGACACCTTGTAAACTGTACATGTACCATATATATATATATTTATATAAATATGTACACACACAATTTAGAAATTATTAAAATAATTGATTTAATGATAAAAATTGTAAAAAAGACTCTGAGTTAGCGAAACGTTAAAATTGTTCTTTTATAAAAATATGTCACGAAATTGTAAAAACATTTTTAATCCGGTGGGTGAAGGGTATGTTTTTGAGCGCTTCTAGAAGTTTTTAATAGCTGACCATGCACGGTAATTACAGATAATAGACGTTCGCTTCTATTTCCTATGGGTAATCGATAGCTATTTGTCACCTGAAGATTATATTTTGTACAGGATAAATTTTCCTCTTCTATTAGTGATTACGAGAAAGCTTTGATTATCGATAAATAAATTATTCAGACGGGAAAACTGCGTAACACTGACGACTTCACCGATTTTAATGACCTGTACATATGTTGTCAAGTTCAAGAAGTAACGTTTCTTTTCTATTATATAAAACAAAAATTCTCTGCTTTAAAATATTTGCTTTAAAAACAAATTTTTTTATAACACAATTTTTTTTTAAATAACTTTTGTTTTCAAAGCAGAGAATTTGTTTTTAAAGCAGAAAATTTGTGGCTTTGTAATGACTTTCCACGCGAATTGAGGTCTGCCCCACATCCTCCTCTGCCTAGAGGCGAGTTCCATGAAATTGACACCCAACTTTAACGAAAACAGATTTTCTTGGACTTTTTTTATAAGATTTCTCCTACAGATGATTATAGTAATCATTATTTCGTTTGTAGTTTGAAAATAAGGAAGATATCAAATTTTAAAAGACCGGTTGAAATTTTTTTTTAGATATAAGTGAATCGGCACCACGTATATATTTATATGCAATCGTTTATAATTGTTTGTAGTACTAACGTTTTCGTTTGCAGTTTCAAAATAAGGAAGATACCAAATTTAAAAAAACCGGTAGAAGTTTTTTTTTAAATAGAACTAAAACGGCACTACACTTATATATGAAATCGTTTGTAGTTGTTTGTAGTACCAACATTTTTGTAATTGGAAAATATAAGGAAGATACCAAATTTTAAAAAATCGATAGA